AGACTACCACCTATACCATTATTTAGTTCTCTACTAGACTACCACCTATACCATTATTTAGTTCTCTACTAGACTACCACCTATACCATTATTTAGTTCTCTACTAGACTACCATCTACACCATTCTTTAGTTCTCTACTAGACTACCACCTACACCATTCTTTAATTCTCTACTAGACTACCACCTACACCATTTTTTAGTTCTCTACCAGACTACCACCTATACCATTCTTTAGTTCTCTACTAGACTACCACCTACATCATTATTTAGTTCTCTACTAGACTACCACCTACACCATTCTTTAGTTCTCTACTAGACTACCACCTACACCATTCTTTAATTCTATACTAGACTACCACCTACACTATTATTTAGTTCTCTACTAGACTACCACCTACACCATTATTTAGTTCTCTACTAGACTACCACCTACACCATTCTTTAATTCTCTACTAGACTACCACCTACACTATTATTTAGTTCTCTACTAGACTACCACCTACACCATTATTTAGTTCTCTACTAGACTACCACCTATACCATTCTTTAATTCTCTACTAGACTACCACCTACACCATTCTTTAGTTCTCTGCTAGACTATCACCTACACCATTCTTTAGTTCTCTACTAGACTACCACCTACACCATTATTTAGTTCTCTACTAGACTACCACCTACACCATTATTTAATTCTCTACTAGACTACCACCTATACCATTCTTTAGTTCTCTGCTAGACTACCACGTATACCATTATTTAGTTCTCTACTAGACTACCATCTACACCATTCTTTAGTTCTCTACTTGACTACCACCTACACCATTATTTAGTTCTCTACTAGACTACCACCTACACCATTCTTTAGTTCTCTACTAGACTACCACCTACACCATTATTCAATTCTCTACTAGACTACCACCTACACCATTCTTTAGTTCTCTGCTAGACTACCACTAGTTTTTGCTTCATGATGCATGTTCTGGTAGTCAGTGCAGTTACGATCCATGTTTCACTGATGCCTATTCCGAGCATTTTGTTAGAAAGAAAAGACTAGTATATTCTGTTGTAGGCATCTTCTAGATCTGAAGCGTTTTCCAGAGACTTTTCGTTTCATAATTTCCATATATCAAGTGTGAATTGAGCAGTTTTGATGCAGGTTTGTAATTACCACCTAAAAGGCAAGCTTTCTAGTTACAACCATTTTGGGATATTGCCAGTGAGATTTTGGCATATAATCTTTTTAATAGGCTTTAAGACGAGAATGATCCTTCATGGGTTTGGTTAAGAATTTGATAAAAGCATCAGCCCATATTTCAGGGATGCTAACTTTTGCCCTACTGTTTTAATAATCCAATGATAACTTCAAGAGGCTGGCTTTTGTAAGTTTCTAAAAGTGGGGATTCTTGAACCACGTGGACCTATGGCTACATCTTTACATGTATATGTGGCTCTGTGTATTATCGAAGTTAATGATGTCTTCCATATCCACATGTAGTTGTAGCTCGGATAAGGATCGAAGAAGTTTGAACCTCTCCTGCATGTCACCATGGTTACATTATTTAATGTATATATTCATGAAAACCTTGCGGTGGTTTTCACTTGTACAGTGTTGGATGCAACCATCATCACATATGACCGATATTGCCATGCTTTTGCTTTCTGTGCCAGCCATAAATTGTGGAAATGCCAGAATGAAGACCTTGTGAGATTAGGCTTGTTGTGTAGTTCATTCCATTCCATATCGCGCATCTTATTCACCTAGGCTTGACTACATGCTTTTCAGACTGTATCAATATCATTGTTTCACCATTTGTAGAAGTTTCTGATTTGAATTTGGTTGAGAGTGGAGAGACGACTGAAGGTATCAATGCCACCCCACAGAGTGGAGAGACGATTGAAGGTACCAGTGCCACCCCACAGAGTGGAGAGATGATTGAAGGTACCAGTGCTACCCAACAGAGTGGAAAGACGATTGAAGGTACCAGTGCTACCCAACAGAGTGGAAAGATGATTGAAGGTACCAGTGCCACCCCACAGAGGGGAGAGACGATTGAAGGTACCAGTGCCACCCCACAGAGGGGAGAGATGATTGAAGGTACCAGTGCCACCCCACAGAGGGGAGAGATGATTGAAGGTACCAGTGCCACCCCTCCACTCTGTTGGGTAGCACTGGTACCTTCAATCATCTCTCCACTCTGTCACTGGTACCTTCAATCGTCTCTACCCCACAGAGGGGAGAGATGATTGAAGGTACCAGTGCTACCCCACAGAGGGGAGAGATGATTGAAGGTACCAGTGCTACTCCACCATAAAACTCGATATTCTTGTACTGGTATATTGATTGTTTTTACCACTTTGCCTTCTAGTCTTCACATGCATCTATGCTAGGTAGAGATAACACTCAAGGTAGGATTATTAAAACAAGCACTAAGGCGAGCCTGTGCCAACAGCAGTTATTCTTTATTCACCAGAGTTTAACATAAAGTTGGTGGCTATACTGTGGAGAGCAGATAAACTGTCATTAGTGATTTTATCAGCATCCCAGGTGTGGTGTCTATAGATACACAGTAATGTTGTCAGTCAGGTAAGGGAGGAACATCCAAATTTCAACATGATGTTTTGTGTTACTTTTGATACACTTTGGTGGTTCAGATTTGTATGGGTAACTTTGGATAGGCTGTTTAGGTGGCTTGTGGCTTTCAGTGTGGTTGTTCCTTTCATAATGTTAATAGCAGACGTTGCAATGGCCATCCCAGTCTTTGGGATCACCATGTAATATTAAGTTAATGCCAGTGAAAGTGAACTCCTCAACTTAAGACAGTTCTGCTTCCTTTGATGTCCCTAACATTACAGTTCCCTATCATACTGAAAGAATGATGGAATCTGGTGTACGTTTTACGCATGTGTTGTTTATTAGCTCAATGTTTAAGAGTTGATTTCCCTGTTCATCTCCTTCTGGAAAGTCGAGGTTTCCACTGAATAAATGATTTACTATGCTCCTGCAGGCACCCATCTGGGCACTGTCTTTAATGTATCAATATTTGAAAGCAATACATTAAACAGTCGCTGTTCAGAACTCCTGTTCCCAGCCATGTCAGCCCTAACAAGCCAGGCAAGTGATGGGGGGGGGATCAGCAGCCCATTAAAAGGGGCTGTTATTCTGGAGATGATTGCAAACTGACCGATACGGTAGAAAGATTCACAGCTACAAAACCTCCCTGATACAGAACCTTACACTAATAAGTTTTGTTTATAACTAGTAACTTGACATTTCCATCTTGTTTCCACCTTCTTGTGACAAAGTGAACTCTTTACTTGATGATCTGCCAATTGATCCAATATATATGTCACCCATCTGGTTCAGCTTGCAGATTTAATTTATGCTGGCCATGGATCACATATCCAGAGATAGCACACAACTAGGCTCTCGATAATCAATAACTTAGTTGTTTTCTCCAACTGTTGCCTGAACATATAATAATGCTAAAGTAAGCTACCTTTAGCATTAATGATAATTCTGCACTAGTACTTACAATTTAACTCACTGCAAATGCCATTGCAATTAAACATTAAGTCTTAATCAACATATACTGACACTCTACAAAGCCTATAAATGAACTTGATAACACCGTAAGCAGGAAAATGAAACACTAACTATCTCTCTACTTCAAACTAAACGTTATAGCTTGTACTAAACCCACGTAGTTAGTAACTCTGCAGTGTACTTAAAACAAACATGTGAAACGTTCTGCTTATGTCTTTATCTTATCAGTTGGTAACAGTATAATTAAATATTCATCTAATCATGTACTAAATTAGTACTTATTAATAGAGCTAAAAAAACCAGAAAACCCATCACAACAAGTTGAGGACTTTATAAATATCAAATTTTAATAACTTATGATTTACGTGCTAGAGGGGTTCGGCACTGGAAAAAGCAAAGGCTATCCTCCCTCAAACTGTGGAGTCCTGTCGCAGCACGTTTGTCAGTTTGTGGTGTTATTCAAACCATCTTCACAGGTGAGCAATCGGTTAGCAGCAACTCCTTTACTTGCTATTTACTCTTGTGTACCAATAGTAAAAAAGGGGAATCATTGATGGCTAACAAAAATAGGTTATCTATCAAATCTGCTTTAGTTTACAGGCCGTTTAGTGAGGCTCCTTTCAATTGTCCTTTCTTACATGTACTTTCCACGTAGTTTACAGGCCGTTTAGTGAGGCTCCTTTCAATTGTCCTTTCTTACATGTACTTTCCACGTAGTTTACAGGCCGTTTTAGTGAGGCTCCTTT